CAAATTTTTTTTTTGCGATGAAAATAAAATTGCGTCGCAAAATACTTTTTACGATGAGGCTACTACGACGAACACGCGACGAAAAAAAAAAGTTGAGAAAAATAAATGACAACGATTTTTTTTTAATTTAGCAACAAAAAAAATCGTCGTAAAAAATGCTTTTTATTGTAGTGAAATATCCCTTATCTTTTGGAGGTAACATGTCCACGTGTTAGGGCAAAATGAAAAAAAAAAAAAAAATCAAATAGATCATAGAGTGAAAATAGACAAATTTGTATAAAAGTAGTGACAAATTTTAATTATTAGGGTGATGTAAAACAAATAACCATAAATGAATGTGCAATATGACAAAATGATAAAACTGTGTTGCTCAAATATATTTATCAAATTTTGTAGCCCATATGATGTGTCAAATATATTGAATTAGTGAACCTAATTGATCCAACAAATCACACTAATTTGGGATGCAAAATTCTGTAAATGATTTAGTAAGGATAACATTCCTCATGACAAAAAACATGATAGTTGAGAGGTGTGTAAAACATAATCCATAGTTGAGGAGATCAAAATATAATTTTTTTTTTTATTCATTTAGAAGAGTCGCATTTTGATTAAGATATAGTGGGATATGACATTGCATTTCCTACTCAAAGTACCAAAACAATCTACACTTGCTTGATTCCCTACGATCATTTTAGATAATTTTTTTGTGACTGTTGTGTTCATTGTCAAAAAGTATTTACGACAGCAACGAGTCGTATCAAATAGTATTTGCGGGCAGCAAATAACTCTTTTATGACACTATTACCGTTACAAAAAAAAATTTCTTCAAAACATGATTATTTGTAACGGAGAATATAGTTGCCACAAAAAATTTGTCTACAAGGGCGCTAATTCTAGTGGTGATTAACATTAGTCCGTATTTTTTTTCTTTTGGCTTGAGACTAGTCTATATGAAGTGAGTGTGGAAATCAGATAACTTGATTTCTCTGATTAGATTGACGTGCATTGCTAATAATTTTGAGAGCTCTAGAATCTGCCATGAGAGAGAGAGAGAGAGGGAGAGAGAGAGATTACACATTACTGTAGTTATTTCAATGCAAATAGAGAATCGATCAAGAAACATTTTGCAGTGGAAATACATGTGAAGCGATAAAAAGATAAAAATAAGCTTTATCTTTTTTCTTAATTTTTTAGTATTCTTCTTCTTAAAAGTTTTATACCAATTAAAATTTTTAAATAATGCATGAAGTTGAATGAGAGAATCACATTTATTGATTCATTCTAGAGACAAATTAAAAAAAAAAAATCATATGTATAGAAAAGTCATTTTGACATGAAATTTATTATACTTATTGATTTGTAATCTTTGACGGTTAATTTTAACAAAATTTCTTACAGTTTTAAAAACTATATATAAGAATTTATTTATAAGAAGTTAATATATGTTATTGGGTTAAACTATAGGAAAATAAATTTAAAATATATCCTTTTTTATGATTGAAGAGTAGAAATAACGACAACCAACAATAAATGGAAAGGATTTAATAACAACATTGTTATTCTTACCATATTATTTGCCAAAATTTGTTTATTAATTCAATGAATCATTGGATATCAACGAGTCTCATTAATTTTTTCTAATAAAACTTAATACATCAACTATCGCCATTCGTCGGAGAGAGAAAGAGGCGAAGAGAAAAAAAAGTCTGAAAATCAACCTCGAGATGATCTTTATTGGAAACCTTATCTGAGGAGGAATCATCACTAACTTCAGCAACTGTGACTAGCTTGTTTTCCATTTTTTTCTTTAGCAGGATAATGATAAGAAAATCACCAAATGGTACTGAAACACAATGGCGGAGATGACCTGAAGTATTTATAGGTACTCAATAGGTGGGGTGGGAATTAAAGAGAAGACAATTTTCTTGGAAGAAAAATGCAGAGAAATTGGTTTAGGCTGTGTCTGGTAGACTTATTAGTTGTATGGACTTTGGAAACTCAAATGTCCGTTCTCGAACCAAACTTTTTTTTCCTCCGACAAGAACGAAACTTTGGAAAGTTCACTATAAGGAAGCAGGTGGGAGGATAGCTTTTCAAAATTGACTTTTTGTGGGATTTTCTCCCAAGATTTCTCAGAATTTTCTTTCCTTATTTTTTTTTTTTTTTGCAATTAATTTTTGTGGGTATTCTATGAATGCATTTATTAAAGAAGGGAGTAGGGTATAATTCGGGAAGAGATTGGATAAGTTGAAAGGTCAATTCGGACTAAACTACACATTTTCACTTACATGTGTATATGTAAGTGACATAAAATTAAAGAATTTAGAATTAGGCTTTTGGGTTTCATGGTATAAGGAGCTTGTGAACTAATAGTACAAGCAATGGTTGCACCACACAATTTTTTATGAAAACGACAATGAATTCAATTATGTCTTCGATTGGACTATGGTATCAAAAAAAAAAAAAAATTCAATTCGATACCACATCTATTTATCACATTTGTCACTACTTTTACCATATTTGTGGGTTTTTTTACCACTATTATGGTACCCCAAAAAATAGTAAAATAATTATCACAATAATGGTAAAAACATCCACTAATATAATAAAAACACTCATAAATGTGGTAAATTTTTTTGTACTAAAAAAATTGATAAAAATAATTACCATAAATGTGATAAAAACACTAACAATAGTAGTAAAAACACTCACAAATTAATGTGGTAAATCACTCATAAAAATAAAAAAAAATTAATTATAAAATGACCCACAAGAATTATAAAATACTCAATAAAACAATAAAAGTTAGAGATACATTATTGAAATTATCTCTTCGGTACCGTAGTCAAGTCCTTATGTCTTAGTTCAAGTGCTCCTTCGTAAGCTCTCTATTCATCCTGTCTCTCAAGTCTCATCTCACACTTCTTATATTATGCATGCCAACTACTACTTAAGGATAGGGGCATTAATTGAATCGAACTTTACAAATTTAAATTGAAGCTTAACAAGCTTGTCTTTTAAACGAGCTTAAAAATTTGTTCAAACTCGACTTATTTAGAAAATGACCCAAGTCTGAGCTAAACCTAAGCCGAGCCCTAATAGCTCGACTATTTACATATAAACGAGTCGAGCTTTGTAAGCTCGAACTGAACTTTTTAGGCTCGTTGCTTTTTAAGCTTGTTTTTTTAAGCAAACCTAAAAAATTATCAAGCTCAACTTATTTAAAACACGAGTTCGAGCTCTAGCTGAACCTGTATATTTCATCTCAATTAACGACCTACTTAAGGGGAGTGGCAGTACAAACTAGCCCTGCAAAGATTCCCAAGATGCTTGTTTCATAGTTTTTGAACCTAGCATCTCTGAAGACTAATAGGGCTTAAGAATTAACTCCTTCTTGCCCTAATGGTTTTATTGCTACTTAAACTAGACCAAGATGAATAAATTTATATCATTTTGATCTATGTTTTTTCATGGCTTCTTTGCTAAGTAATTGACAAATTTCTTCTTCTTTTGTGAGAGAATAAACTTGTTCAATAATTTTTACTTAAAGTTTTGACTTGAAAGCTATTGGCATCCAGCTTGTTTTATAAATTTCTCTTGTTGGGACTTTGGGAGTATTCCATTTTGTCCAGTTTGTGTATGACTCTTGAGATTCATGTTTTTCTTCATTCAATATTGTTGATATAGAATTTAATGAAGATCTAGATGAGCTAGTCATATAATTAGATCTGAATAATCTACACATTTTTAAATTTGGGATTTTTCAACTTTGTAAATTACTTGTAAGTTTTTACTTCGTTGTACATACCCTTCTTATGCATATACCCTCTGAGCTTTTTCCCAAACCCACTCTCATTCAAAACTTAATTCTCAAATTCAGTCTTTTTTTAAAAACGTCATTTGAAATGACGCATTCTTCCCTAAAAACGTCATTTGGAATGACGATTTGAACATTAATTTTTTTTTCCCTAAAACGTCATTACAAATGAAGTTTTTAAAATCGTCATTTAAAATGACGTTTTATAATAAGAATTTTTAACGAAGTCTAACAGACGTTTAAAAAAATAAAAGGGTTAAAAACATTATTGTAAAATGAAACGTCATTTACAGTAACGTTTTATTCCTTTTTTGTTTAATCATATTTTTTACCCCTTAACTTTTACATTGACATTTTTTATCCATAAGACATTTACATTGACGTTTTTTACCCCTTAGTCTTTTACATTGACGTTTTCTTGACCAAAAGTTTTCAACCACCAACTTGTAATAAATTTCATAAAAGCTAAATAACCCCACTTTATGTCTCACATCATGATTCACCAGACAAAAAAAAAATTAAATAAATTTTAGAATTTAATTCCCTTTTCATAAAAAATTTGAACTTATTTTATAATTGAAAATAAAATTCATAAAAGCATAATTTAATTTCATATTTTTCAATATAAAAACATATTAGTAAAACATATATTTAATAAAAAAAAACTTAAAAGCGTATTTTGAAAGTACACTTCTATATTAAAAAATATGTTTTGTATATGTTAAAAATCTTAATATTATAATCTCACTTCTCACGTCATAAAAACATTCCAATCTGAAAGAGCTTTTCCTCAAACCCAACCAGCCCTAAAACTTTATTTCCCATACTCTGTCTTTCTTTTTTTAAAATCGTCACTTAAACTGCAAGTTAATATGTTTAAAGACATATGCAGTGATAAGAAAAAGTGTGGTGTTCAGTTTCTTCAGTGATCTATCTATCAACTGATTGTTGCTGCCTGAGGGTATTGTAACATCCAAGTATGAATATTTACAAGTACTTCAGCATTTCTTGTATGTTTATGCTAAAATATTGAGCTATATCACCCTACATCTGTAAGAATGATATTGCTGTAAGATCTCAATTTAAATTATCAATAATAAATTGTGAATATGAAAATTAATCAAGATAGAGTGAATCACATTTCTCTACAATAGACTCCAGTTCTACAAGTTCATATAAATTACCACGGCTGCTGAAGGCAGCTTGAACCCCACTCCTCTCCAATTCTCCTATCCCTCTGTAGTATTAAGTATAAACCATTTAATTTCTTTTCTAAAAGCCTCTGCTGGTGTATCTCTGAATCCATTTTGAGTGCAGGAGATTCAAGAATAAGCGATTGAAGCTCTTTGTAGTAATTTTCCAAAAGAATGTCATCCGACCTCTGATCATGCAGATCAACTGTGTGGGAACTTTAACTCTTTCATTTGATCAAGCTTGCAAACTGAAACAATCTCGTTATCTGCCGCAAAAGAAAGAGAAGGGGAGCTGGATAATATAAGTGTTGGCACATGAACAGATTATATTCCCACAGCAAACTTTTAAAATTAGTAGCACAAACATTTGTCAAAAATAAAAAATAAAAACAACTCACCATTTAAGATAAGTGCACGTAAGCTCACAAGGGCAAACTAGCTCCATTGCTCATGGCAGCTAGAGCCATATGGGTATGGCCGAATAATTAGCAACACAAAGCTTTTTTTCTATCATAGTAAAATAAGAAGAGGTGCAGTGTAAGTTCTTATTGACCTCCCTTGTTTGGACCAAGTCCTATGACAACTTATAGTCTATACTCCCTATGTATCTGTTTACTAAATAGTGTGAAACTTAATAGTTCACAGTGGTTTGAAACTAAATAGTGTGAAACTTAATTTCTCTTGGACATAAATCAAAGCATGAATACAGAAAGGTAGTGATAATATGAGAACTCTACCAAAACATTGGTAAATTTTAGTAACTAACTAAACAAGAAAAAACAAATAAACTAATTTCATTTTCCCTCGAAATTGCCAAAACTCTTTCTAATAATATTCGCATATACACAAATTTTCAGACATTTCCAATACTATCAAGAATCTGAACATTATAAAGCAACTATATCGAATATAGCATACTCTGGTCTTTAAGCCCTGCATTGCTACATAATATTTACCTAAAGCAACCAATACTTTTTAGCAAAAAAAAAGAAGAAATCGCATACCCACAGGATTAGCAGCAATCAGCTGCTCTGCAACAGACTTTATAGCATCAATAAGAGCTACAGCCTAATTCGTGTGAGGTATCCGCTGCTGTGAAATCACCGACCGAAGCAATTCCGCAGTAAGCTTCGCCGTGGCCTTCGAGCCCTCTACTTTACTGCCATACACAATCAATGATTAAGTGAACAGGTATCTAAATCAAAGCCTTTACATAATTCCAATGAACCAAGTCGAAGAACTCACCGTTTTGTAAGCTTAATTCCGAATTCATTCACGAGGGCATGTGTGTCCCGCATCGCTTCGACAAATTTTCACCTGAAAAACAAAACCCAAATTTTATCAGACGTTCCGGAATCATAATTCCTCTATTTTGTTACCAAGAAAATATAAGAAAAATCCTAATTCCACTTCTAACTAACCCAAGCCAGAATACCACCCAAATACCCTACCCCACTTTAAAACTTCCATCACAAAACCTAAAAGGAAACCCCAACAAGAATTACAGAAAAAAAAAATCACCATCTACCAATAGAAAACACACACGAACCACCAAAACTCAACAAAACAACCTATAAAGACCACTGATCTATTACATATTACATACAAATCTTAGATTCACCTTCTTGATATCTGTTCAGAAAACACCCATGACCACAGATCCATGAGCATCGATTTAGGCAAAAAATCGATTATGGGCAAAAAATATTTAGGGCAAAAATGGAGAATGGAAATTGGAGAATGTGCTCACTACTTAGTTGGTGGTGGAGGCTGTGCACGCTGGTGGAGGCTTTGGTCGCTGGTGGAGGATGTGCTCGATGGTGGAGGCTGTGGTCGCTGGTGGATGGTTCTCCGATGGTCTTCCTCGTCGGAGAGTGGCTGAGGAGGAGGAGTGCTAAGCGAGAGATGGGATCTGATCGACAGAAGAGATCTGATCGAGCTTGTGAGGATCTAATCGAGTTTCTGAGGATCTGATCGAGAGGGAATGATCTGAGAGAGAGACAGATGCGACAGAGGGATTGTTGTTGAGAGAGAGAGAGTGATCTGAGAGAGATGCGACAGAGGGATTACAAATGACGTTTTTTACCTCCAATTTTTTTGAACGCCCAGTTAACAGTCATTTGAAATTTTATTTTATAAAACGCCATTAAAAATGACGAGTTTAAAAATATCATTTCTAATGACGTTTTTAGTTAAAAAAATTTAAAGTTAAAATCGTCATTAACAATGACGTTTTATCATATGGAGGCGTCATTATAAATGACGTTTTTAAAAAAAGACTGAGTGTGAAAATTATGTTTAAAAATGACTGGCTTATAGAAATAAATTTTCAGCGGGCATGGGTTTGGGAAAACCTCCATACCCTCTAGATTTGTTGTCTTCTTCCCCTATTTTGCCTCTCACTAGAACTTACACCCGGGATCTAGACTCTCTAAGCTTAGGTGGCAAAGCTAAGGTGACAAAGAAGATAAGACTTATAAGAAATTTATTAATTGAAGTATCAAAGATTTATCAATAAGTAAAATGAAACAAATATAATTCAATAGTTTCCCAAACTTTACCCTAAGCCTTGAAGATTCTACTATGTTAACAACATTAACCTTAAGTATAAAAACTGCAGGAGAATATGCTAAAATGACAGACAAAGTAAGATCATTAGTACTTATCTATAAAATTTATTACAAATGCATAACAACAAACTTGAATGTTCTTGCATTAAAGAAAATTCCTAAAGATAGAACCTTACTAATCCAAGCAAGTACTACTGAAGCCAATATACAAGTTCCAAAGAGAATTCTTTGGAAAGATGCCAAGCTTCCAGAATGTTGGATACTTGAAAATGAAAGTTATAGTCAAAGTAGTCAAAATACTTCAACAAACTTATAAGGTATCCAACAATTATCTGATGGATCAGTAAGAATCTCATTTGATAGCACAAGATCCAGCAGACCTAGTATATCGAATAATAAACCACTTCACATCCATGAAGGAAGAAAATCTGAGTCAGCCTATTATAGTTTAACTAGACAAGATAAAGATTTAGCTAATGAATTAGAGAAGAAATTCAAGCTAGAAGAAATTCAAGCTAAAAGAAATTAACACTTCCTCATCACAAATTAGTAAACCATGTTACACTCCACAATCACGGTTTCAAGAAGAAGAAGAAGATGATTATTTTACACCATCTCCTTCTGCTACTGACCTGAGAGTAACCCCCCAGTAAATAAACAGTTACTTACAATTAGTAAATCGGATGATCTATTTCTTATTGATGAAGATAGATTATATGATGAATTCAAGTCTAAAGATAATAAACCTAAAAGAAGAGAATTTAACCAGAAATATAGTGATAGTAAACAACAAAGAATATTTAAAAAATGGACTAAGTTTATGAATGAAATAAGATGTGAAATCTATTTCTTTGATTACTTAGAAAACTATTACAAATCAGTCAAAGTAGTAACAAAACATAAATAGAAAAAGAAAGATGCCTCCACAGTATCTTCAAGCCATCTCCCAGCAGAAACCTTATTAATTAGTCATAAGGATCATGAAGTTAAAGTCTCACCATTTAATATACCAGTTAATGAATCTAAAAAAAAAGAATAATTGAGTAAAATAATTTTACCAATCAATGTCTAACAACAATTGGTAAACAACTAGATAAAATTGAAACTAAGATTGATGAAATCAAACCAAGTAAAAAATTAGAGAAACCTCTAATTCAGTTACCATAAAATATAAGTAAACTTGGAGTTTTAGTAAAAGATAGCAAAAGACTTCAAAAAATTGAAGAAGTAATCCAAAAGATGGAAGCTAAAGCCGAATACCAAGTAAACACTATCAATCAAAATGTCGAACAAACTTTTAAAGAAAGTAAATTTGCAAAATCCAGGAATATAGAAAGTTCTTCTGTGACGCCCCAAAATCCGGGGGTCCGTTGATTATCCATCAACCCGTGAAATATCCGTGGATACCGAGTAACTCGATATCACACCGTTATGCCTCATTTACCGAGGTCTTTAATTTAACAAAATTCGGGCAGAGTCTCTTTGTACGGGGAGCTCTACCCAAAACACAACCTGTGCAATATACATTAACATGACCCGTCTGAGGCCCCATATAACACAATGACCACACATGGTCCATTTATAAGTAAAACTTGACCACACCGGGTCCAATGATCTATATTTATATCAAAACATGCAAGATTAGTTTAACAATAGTCCATATAAGTTCTATTACAATTTAAAAGATTACATGCTTAAAACATTCTTTCCACAAATATTTTACATCAACACAAAATAAAGTCACATTTGGCTTTCTTCAAACATGAGGGTCCAAATTGGAGCCATCCACCGATGTACCTCTCCCACCTGAAATATTTTCCATATAGGGTGAGCCAACGCTCAGTAGAAAAACTCTTACAGAGACTACTCCCCACCTAAAATATGTATGCAATGCGCACATGCCACAAACAACTTCTTCCAAATAAGAACATGTTATTCAAGATAGAATCTCATTATGCCATGCCAAGTAATGAGATGAAACTCACTCATGCATGTTATTCCGAGCCCACACCGACTCCCACAACACAATGCGACTCATATGTGTAAAACAAACGTCTTTGATGAAACACATCCAAATATCATTTTGAAATCAACCATATGTCATAAAACCAATTCATTCTTGAATGTTTCCCATCAAATGAATAGTTTATATATCAAAATCATGTGCCTTTATGGGTATCGAATTCAGGAATTGCACCTCCGGCTCCGTACGCCGTTAAACTTTTCTGAAATTTTACCGCTGGTAAGTGTATGAACCAAGTGGCCGAATTTTTCACCCGAGGGAGTATCTATCCCTACTTGCTATACCCGACACAAGTTTTCTTATGCATGTAACTGTGCGACTCCGTAGGACGTTTCATCCCACTTTTCGAGCCCACCATCAAGCACCAATGTTAGTGTTGATCACCCCATGCAACCCTATGCCTACACTCATGCATATAGCCCATGAATATAATGTTAATTTCATGTTCATATTGCAATGCATGTCAAATGAACAATTTTTACATATCAATGTATACCATAACAATTTATATCATTTACATATAATCACCATAACTATTTCAAGTTCAATATATCCAAAACATATAAATTTCATGATCATCATAATGCTAACATATTGTTAAGCATACATCAA